CATATCTCAGTCGCTGTTGGAGGAACTTTTGATCACCTTCACATTGGCCACAAGCTGCTGCTAACCATGTTCGCATTCATGCTGGGGAGACGGCAGTCGTCTACTCCAGAATCGAAACCCAGTGTGCTTACCGTTGGAATCACCGGCGATGCCCTGCTACAGAAGAAAAAGTATGCCGACCAGCTGGAGAGCTGGAAGAAACGCCAGGAGTCTGTACACGACTTTCTCTCACACCTCGTCTACTTTGGATCTCCAGATGACGAGCGGATTCGTGTCGAGGAGCTGAATGAGCCTGGACCAAATGGCCATGCTGTGCACGTCAGCTATCCCTTTGGGCTTACCATCAAATATGTTGAGATATGGGATCCTTTTGGCCCGACCATCACCGACAAGGACATTACTGCCCTGGTGCTGTCGCTGGAAACGAGGAGCGGGGGTGCGGCAGTCAACGAAAAGCGCAAGGAGCAGGGCTGGGAGGCGCTCGAGGTGTTTGAGGTTGCGGTTCTCGATGCCAGCGAAGAAGACAACGTGGACGAATCTTTCGAGAGCAAGCTGAGCAGTACGGAGATCCGGCGCAGACGCAGCGAGCGTGCCCGGGTCTAGAGCACAGGGGGGGCGAGGAAGATGAGGCGAAGACAATCAGGCGGAAATGACGGATAAAAGCAGGGCTTTGTTGAGGCGGCGGTATGTGGCGGTATGTAAGTCGATGGGCGGGGGGACAGGGCGGAAAAAAAGACAAGTCGACGTCTGGGTTGAGTGCTTGTGTAACGGGGCACCAGGGCTGGGTGCGATGGATGATGAGGCGACACGACGACACAAGATGCAAATGACGTTGTGTAGGGGGGCACATATAGGGCTTGGATACGAGCAACACGTTTGCTGTCAGACGGGCAGAGGCACGCGGGCGTCGTCTTGTACCCGTCGAGGCGAGCGGGCAAGGCGACTGCAGGCGGTGCGGGGGGGGAGGGGGGAGGGTTTGATGATACATGGTAGCTAGCATTAGCATCTGGTGTTGACATGGGGCATGGGGGACGACGGCAGGAATGATGATATATGCAATCGAGAGAGGCAGACAGAGTCGGTGACAAGGCAGAGTCGGTGACAAATCAGTCAGTCAGCCAGCCATCCATCTTGCCATCCATGTAGCCAGGCAGGCCGGGCGGCATGTGCCGTGGTTTGCGGTGCGTGGGCTGGGCGATTCCAAGCGCACGGCCATGGTATCGTGGTGATGACGCTCTGCGGGTCGGGTGATTAGCGTCACAAGCGCTCGAGACGCATGCTGTGCTGGCAACGCATCGACGGGTCTTGGGGACATGGCTCGGTGGGTGCTTGTGGCGGAGTGAATAGAGGGGATATGCGGGCCACGGCGTGGTCGTGCAGGAGGTGCAGCAGGTGCAGCACAAGGTGCAGGCAGGCGGTGGGCAGACAACGAATCCGCGAGAGTCGAGGCGGGAGGAGCCACGGTCCCGTCACTCGACGGGTGCTTATGGCGGGCGGCCGCGTCGAGGTGAGGTCATGTGAGCGCTAGGCGGTTTGCAGGCTAAGGCGCCCCGTGCCATTGGGGGCTTTTGCAGCGGCCAGGCAGGGGGAGTGGCCGCTGTGGCCGCGGTGCGTGTCCACTCGTCGTCCTCAACTCCAGCGACGCTTAGCTGACTACTAGCGAAGAAGGTCATGCATTCCACTCCCCGGCCCTGCCCCTCTGCCCTCTGGCTGCTCCTCGCCTCGCTTGTCTCGTCTCACAGAACATCGCCGCCGGATAACACCACGCTGTCAGTCGACAAGCCTGGCCCGCGACAGCCCTCCATCCGCCTCCCGTCGGCCTTCCATCTCCTGTCCCGATCCGGCCCGAGCCTTTGCTCTGTCTCTCTGTCTCTGTCTCTGTCTCTGTATCTCTCTTTTTCCCTCTCTCTCTCTCTCTCGCTGCTCCTGCTCCCACACTACTTCTATATCCCTCGTGCCCTGCCGACTGCCCGCCCGAGCAACCCCCGCCATAGCAATCCTTTTCCTCCCACTGCCGTCATGAATAGTCCCACATAAAATGGGTATCCTTGATCTTGCCGACGAGCTTCTTCGCATCATTCTCGAATATGTCGCCTCGGAACCCGAAAAGCCCATTAGCCTCGAACGCCGCGCCTATCTCTCCCAGGAGAGCTTCAAGCTGCCTCTGCCTCCGGACCACGACCAGGCCCAAACAATCGCCGCCTTTCGCCTGACCTGCACAAAGTTTTCCGACCTCGGCGTCATCCATCAGTTCTCACGTGTCACCACCCGTTTCTCCAAAAGAGGCCTTGACCGCCTCGAGAAGATTGCCAGCCAGCCGCACATTGCCCGCCGTGTCAAGAAATTCAGTTACATGGTCCCCTTCTTCTACGACCAAGGTCCGACTAACCCTTTTTCTCTCTTCAACCCTCCAATCCTATAGACCCAACCAACCACTAACTCGGCTGTAGGACGGGAGCGGTTACAAGAACTTCTCCATACACAGCCCAACAGCTTCGCCCTCTTTGATGTTCGTCACTTCCAGACAAAGGCAAACGAGCAGAGGGAAATTGTCCGCACTGGAGAAGATGCCCGCATTCTCCACATAGCACTTCGCCAATTCACTTCCCTTCAGCACATCCAGATTCTGCGCGTGCAGGACCAAGAAGAGGGGAAGCTTATTAATTACATGCGGAGCCATGAACTAAACGATCTAATCCCACGGTGGCCTCCAGCCTGCCTCCACAGCGCAAAGACAATAGGTCAGGCCCTTCTCAAGTCAGGATCTCCATGCTCAAGAATCTCGTCGCCCATGCTTAGTCCACAGAGTGTGTCGAGTGCCGTTGAGAATCCACCATCCACATTAAGCATCCTTGCCAGTCGCCTGACTTGCTTAGAATTACATTTTGATGATAGCACCGACCTTGATGTGCGCATGCGAGACCTCTCTTCTCTCTCCAAGGCCCTATTCACTGCAGCCAAGAACATAGAGGCGTTACACATCGGCTTTCCATCGTACAGGCCACTCTCCATCCAGCTAGAGGAACTTTTCCACAATGTCAAGTGGGACAAGTTGCAGGCTTTTGGCATACAGGCATGGCGACTAGATGCAGAAGAAATCATTGGGTTTGCACAGAGACATCGAGAGACATTGCGCGGATTGCGGCTCCGAGATGTACTTTTGAGGCAAGGCAGTAGATGGAAAGATGTCCTCCCTTGCCTGCGCGACGATCTCCCAAGGCTCGACTGGGTCAGCTTAAGACGAATCGATTACGAGCAACATTTCGATGAGCAGTGGGTGCTGGGTGCCGAAGTACCAGACGATCCTCTTGTTGGAAGCGACAGTAGTGACGAGAGCGAGGACTGGGAATATGACGGGGAACAAGAGGAGCCATTCGACAATCACAGTGTTAATGGACACGATCACGACGACAGCTCGATAGCTGGCACAGAATCGGATACAGAAACCGACGAGCCGGAACCGGAGCAGGGCGGAACTCTCCACTTCCCACCCATGCCAGATACCCCAGCCTCGGTCACCTGGTGCAATTGCAACGGTCATATGGACAGTGTAGACGCGTTAGGGGACGATGGTGTCATGGTCACCAACCAGCAACGCAAGTTCTGGGAGAAGTGGGTCGTCAGGAAGATCTGCACCGAGCAGCACGGTCACAAATAAGCGAGCCCGTGTGCACTTCCACGAGGCGTCGTTGTTTTTGTTGGTGGGGAGCCTCCCGGCGTAAGATGGCGTCCTCTTATCGAACCGTTCATGGGCCGTCCGTGCGTGGACCTCGCATATGCATGTTCGCAGCAGCCAAAGCACCGCGCTCGGGCGCTTATGCAATACCCAACAACTAGTCACTACACTCACCCTAAAACAAGCAAATGCGACCACATCGTGCCGTCAATTCAGGAACCCCGCTTTTACCATTCAGTATGGACATGAGCTTCTTTCGCATACTCTGGGATTATCACCGGCAAACTTTACTCTACACTTCTTTCACTGTTGCGTACACATATCAGGTGCACGCCTACTTTGATCACGGCCTTCCAATCACCGAGGAAAAAAATATCTCGTTTTCTTGTGTTTTTTTTTGCGAACTCAACGACCTTTTGCAAAGACGGGTTACTCTACTTGTGCCCTTATCATCCTATCTAATGCCCCGAAAAGTCTTATGATCACAATCTTCATACATCCAACTCAACTTTCCCCCCCTTGGTTTTTCCAGATCACTCCTTTTACAGATAACGAATGTCACGTAGCGTGGGAGGGTAATATCGTTTCCTTTTCTTTGTCCACTATACACACGTTTGGTTTATTGTAGACGTCCATCTTTTCTCACCCACGCCTATAGTATATTACCTACGCCCCGTGTACAATATTATTCTGAGCCTAGTATATCACTTTAGGCTAGCTGAATGATACTCCTCAAAATTGTCTGCTGTTTGCTTTGTGATAAGTCCCCCTTGTTGAGAAGTCATTGACTCTCACCATTACCGATTGAACATGTTTCTAGAACGAGGCGGTGAGGATGCACGTGTGCTTTGTACTGATAGAGCTACCACAGGAAATCACGTGCGGATTGCTGGGTAAGAGGTAAGAGTAGAAGGCACCTGCCTCGTGTCGTAACTTCTTCACTTACCATCTCACCTCGCCAGCGATGAGTGAGCAACCTGCACCTACAGCACTCGCCCTTGCAGCTCTCGTTACCTCACAGATATCACGACACGTACACACGAGCCCTTGTTCACTTCACCACACGATAAACGCGCTCTTCACACGTCAGATGGCGTTTCGCGTTTACTCAAGGCTTGGTATGCTGGTACACTGCACTACCAACAGTATGCCGCACCAAAAGTCTTACTCCATCTTTACACTTGAGAAGCGGTTCGACAAAAGTGTATTTTGAGTAACGCTATTATGGCATCTCATATATGGAAGGAGGTCGATGCCGGTGTCATGATATGGGAGCCAACCTTGGAAGGCGGTATTACTCATGCAGTGGAAGAGCAGCATGAGCATGAGCAGTCACACATCATTACAGACAAAGACTCACAAGGCAAGAGACAACCACTCATTGATCATTTTCTCCTTCGATACCAGTGCTAACAATCTACAAGAGTCATTAGCGAGCAATTGCGATCATGCCCAGCGAGAACTGACACTTCCTCCATACGAGGAATTTTTCGGTACATCACTTGACAGTATCGAGCCTCCCTGGAAAGGAAGGTTGTTTTTCGAATCTTCAGGTCCATTCTATTCGTATCCAGAAAGAGAGAACTCGACGCAAGAGTCGTGTTGTTCTTCCTCAGCCTCCTCCTTACAGGGCCAAAACTCCTGTACCCCCAAGACGGACTGTCTTGATTTTCTCAAGAGTCAAGGAATTTCCTCGAGCTGTGCATCCGATAGCGTTACGGCACATTCGACACCTTGTCCTCGACGAATGGTACCAAACAAGACTGGTTGCAGTCTTCTATACCCTGATGGTACCCGCCGTTCCAATTCAAGCAATCCTGCCAGAGGTTCCGTATCAGTTCGTCGCAAACTCACATTCCAAATGAGTGGCTCTAGTGATCGAGCTGCACCTGCATCGTCTTCAGAAGACCTAAGCAATCTACAATCTCTAGCAGCACTTCGAAGGATTGAAAGAGCTCCACCACATATGTGGGATGAGGATCAACGGGAGCTGTTGGCCATTCTGTATAGGTGGTACGACAATGCCGACCAAAATACTCTTCCTCAGGTGTTCAACAAGGTTGTCGGCCTTGACCTTCGGGTGTCAGTCATAAGGCATCAATTCGAGGGCCATGTGTTGCTGTATGGCGGACGCGCCTTTCCTGAGTACGCCCGGGTAATGGCTATTCCATTTCACGACCCAGAAGGGCGGTACAATGCTATTTGTGAGATTATAGAAGCAACTGCGGCAGACTCGGGCATCGATTTACAGCGCAGAGACACAGAAATTGCGTTCAACTCTGGTGCTGCGCGGTGGGCGAAGTCCCCGAGGACCAGAAGATTGTATAGGTCCCTGGTTCGCCGCGCTGCGCAAAAGGAGAAAGAAAAAGGTCGAATTTCTCGATCGACTCAAGCTGTTGTATTGCCATCAGATCAGCAAGAAATACCGATACCAGAGTGCCTACTCGGGAATATAGTATTGTACACAGACGACCAAGATGAGGGGATGTGGTCTGATGTTGAAAACCCGAGCCCCAGCACAGCTTTAGTGGAAAAATTGCGGTCCTCTATAGAGCCTATCAGGCGAAAAATTGCGCTTCGCGTCTGGGACAAGAATAGTAGAACCATATTCAGTAAAGAAGACGGATTCGTCAGCCAAGCATTTTCCATCTGGCGTGGTGAATATCCGCCTCCATTCACTCCAGACGGTGAGGGCAGGGCTGCACTGAAGTTGTTGACCAACTTGCGTAAGTAACTAGAAGTAACCAAACCTTCTTTGAGTCTAAATTAACCATGAAGTTACAGATTTGTGCTTGAAGGGCGGGGCATCCACTTTTGTTTCCTTGTCTACAAGCTTACTACAGGCTTTGGTCAAAGCAAGCACCATGGATGACCCATGGATAGCGATCGGTGAGTGGAATGATTTATATGGAGATGTTCTGAATTTGACTTTATCTAACACGATGACAGTGGCATTGGATGATCCCTCACTTTCAACCCCAAACAAAACTCTACCAGCAGCAGACGTCCTTCGAATGCTCAAGTCTGAAGGTCAGGCATGGTGGGCTCGCTATAAAGGTCACGCGGGTAAGTCGCCAGTCTACTCGCTGCCTTATTCACTTTACTAATAGCCCACAGAACGCATGGTATGGGCCTCGGTATCCGCTGAAGCAATCCTACACCACTTCTCGATCTCCGACCTGCAAAACCTAGCAGACGCTGATGATGTCTGCTCCCAACTTCTCAACCTATTCGCATTCCAACCCCATAGACGCACACGCCATGTTTCTGATTGCATGCGCGAGCAGTGCAATACTATCACCACGCATACTGTACGAGCAGTAGCTTCCATTGCGCGGGCTTTCGGCATGCATCGCGAGCGTGTCAGTCTCGCTCATATTCAAGGTTTCATCGCTGCTCTTATCGACTCATTCCAACTTCGTTACAACGAGACAGGAGATGCTCACTCGAGTAACGTCGCACACAACTTTGCAGTGACGCTTCGGTCACGCGTTCACAATGTTGAAGAGGTTGCCCTGTCGTTTCTGGAGGGCACCAGGCAGGGCAACGATGTCATTGCGTACTACTCGCGTCGTCGGTCGTAGTCTCATCACCTGCTTTTTCTTTGTTCGCCAACGTTATTCAAGAGAAAGGGAAATTCTTCTATGGATACATCATGTTGATATGAACACAGCGTTTGTATCGGTTTCATTTTGTTTTTTGCAGTGGAGTGAAAAGGAGGATATAGCAACGTTGATACCGAGTTTCTTTTATGGGGCTAAGCTGGGAAGAGGGGAACTGAGTACACCCTAGCTGCTTTTTGCTAATACGGTTTAATATAAGGAAGATGCGCTCGAATATTCACATACATGTGTAGCTTCAAGAGACATCGCACGGGGCAACACAATATATTGGCATCATACTCTTTACCAAACCTACACCTAAAAAAACAGCACAAACATCTGCTACTGACAAATTCAAATTCCCCAAAGCAAATTGACTCTCATCTATTATCCTCTCTCTCTCTACACCTCCCTCGCTCATTCCCAGCTACAACCCCTACTCACCCCCAAATCACAGTCGCAGTAGGCTGCTCAATCCCCGCACTATCATGTTGCGTCGGCGTCGACGGGGGCGGAAAATCGTCATCATCATCACCCCCATCATCCTGTCTCTTCTTCCCCCAAATCACCGTCGCAGTAGGCTGTTCAACCCCCACACTATTAACCTGACTCGGGATGGACGGCGGCGGGAAATCATCATCGTCGTCATCATCTTCTTGGCGTTTGCCCCAGATGACGGTTGCAGTCGGGGGTTGGATGCTGATTTCGTTGGGAGGGGTGGGGAGGGTAGGTGGTGGCAAGGGGAAGTCTGGGTCTTCTTCTTCTGGGTCTTCGGGGAAGGGGTCTTCTTCGTCGGGGAATGGGGCAGAAGTGGGTTCTGGGGTGCGTTTTCCCCAGCTTATGCTGAAGTCTGGGGGGCCGAGGGTGATGTCGGGGGGTGCGTAGGATGTGGTGTCGGGTTCTGGGGTTGGAGTTGGGGTTGGTTTGGGGGTAGGAGTAGGAGTGGGGGTGGAAGCGGCTTTTGAAGTGGATGTTGGGGTGGGTGTGGGTGTAGCTTTTGAAGTAGATGGGGGTGTAGACTTAGATGTTGGCTTGGAAGTCGGCTTGGATGTAGGCTTAGGAGTCACCTTGGAAGTAGGCTTAGGAGTTGGTTTGGGCGTAGGCTTCTTAGTTGAGGTAGGTGTTGGCTTCTTTGTAGACGTAGGCTTAACATTGCGTTGCTCCATGTTCCAGCTTATGCTATACTGGGGTGGCGGTGAGCTGGTTTGTACTTCCTTCGTTGATGTCGGCGTCTGAGTTGACGACGGCTTGGGCCTCGTCGTGGATTTAAAAGTCGTTGGTCTTGGTGGCCACGGGTTCCAAGGAGGATATCCTGGCTTTCTGGTCGAAGAAACCTTCCCGGTTGAAATGGACTTGCTGGTAGGCACTGAAGAGGAAGCCTGCTTAGAAGTGCTGGAGCTTGTTGGAACAGATGGTGACGGTGTGACGGATGGGTATTCTGGGGTTGGTTTGGGTGTAGGTGTGGGCACAGGAGTGGGCGTCGAGGCACCCGGACCTTCTCCATCCCAGCTAATGCTATAGGATGGATTGCCAATACTGATTTGGTCGCTTGGTTTTGGCGGGGGGTATTCAGGTTCGGGTGTGGGTTCAGGCTCACTAGTCTCCCAGCTGATCCAGAATGACGGTTTTCCAAGGCTGATTTGGTCCGTTGGCTTTGGTGGATTGATAGGTTCATAGGGGCCCTCGGTGGGCTCCGGGTTACCAGTGTCCCATGAGACGCTTTGCTGAGGTGGATTTATCTCTCCTTGACGCTCTTGAAAGCCAGCAGGTGCAGCACGGATACTAAAACACGTCGGTATCTGTAGATAGACGCAGGCAGAATAACAAACCTGATTGCAAGGCCAAGTAGCACCAGCACACTGTTGCGTGCAGGAGCCATGTTTTCTCGAAGATATATGGTGCAAGACCAAATTTACAATTCCGTGGTGTAACTCTGCTCTTTCCCTGCGACTTTGTGGCAAAGTTATAGACGTTTCTCCAGTCACCGAAACTGGTCAATCTAGGAGAACATGCAATGATACAGTGCCAAGATGAAAGATACGAGACCACGCGCCGTGAGTCCTATGTGAACTTCGGTTGCATCTGTGTGACACCATAGGCATCCGCATTAGCGAGACTTGATAGTCCATGTTCTGGGCTCTAGGTTGTGCTTCGATCTGGCAGCGCAATATACAGTGATAACCGCCGGGTTCACCTGCAGTGTCACTTGGAAGAAACCTAATTTTAGCCATACACTGTCCAGTAGCGTGTGTTGAATTTACAAAATGTGGAAGGTGTCGGCAAAATTAAAGTGCATCTTGTCTGGCTATATTGCTGGGTATTTTGCGTGATCGTACCATCGTTGTAAACAGCCGAGAATGCAGGGTTTCCCTCGTGTGAACTTTGCATAATAGATGAACCAACTTTAACAATCGAGTCGCTCAACCAACGAAACTACCTCGCTTGCATGACCTCGGTCCAGAATCAACATCACCAGAACCCCTCGGCTTTGTCTGATATGACCAAGACATGGCCATATAGCCTCCATTGGGAACACCACAGACCGGTAGCGAACTGTCACAATCCATACCTCGGTATATATATGCTAGCAAATGTGCGACATACCGGGAGAGAATATGAGGACTGCAACGGCCGTCGAACTGAAAGGGGTCCTGGCAATCGGATTGTTCTCATAATCATGAGACGCCGAATCATGACAGCGACATTGACCCTGCTTGCAGACAAACTGACTATTGACCAGTTGTTTCTTTCCACTATGGAATACCCGGGAAGGCGGATATTGGTGGTGTAGTCCCGGTAGCCAAGGAGGAAGAGAGCCCTGTTGCATATAGGACGTGCTTGGCCGTCACCCGTCTTCTGGGGGATCTAGAAGTTTGTCCAGTGGCCATTTTCTTATGGCACGAATACTCAATGGGTCAACGTATCCCGCTTCAAACATCTCAAGTCCGGCCCATCCAATCATGGCAGCATTGTCGGTGCAAAATTTGGGAGGAGGGAAGTACAGCTCAACATCTGGAAACCCGTGAGCACAAAGGGTAGACGCAAGTCTGATAACAGGTTAGCTCGATCCATTTCTACAGCCGAACGGCGGCTGGGCAAGTCCTTGGAATTGAGTGTACGTACATATGTCGAAGAAGGGAGTTCGCAGCGACGCCACCAGCCACGACGACGGCAGGCTTTGACGTCGTGATATCTCGCTGGGACTGCAGACCTAGCACCACTCGCGAAGCCAGGTGCTCGAAAGCTGCGCGCATAGTTTCTCTGGCCAGATCGATTCTTTCTTCGATTTGAATCTCAGTAGCTGCTCGCTCAACCTTGTTGAATTTCTTCGTAATAGGATTCATGCCATATCGTACGATGCGCTCGACCATTGTGGTAATGCCGGAAAAGCTCATCTCAAGGGTATTAATCTTGACGCCTCCACCGGATTTAGTCAGTGGCTTGTTGAGAGCCCAACCCCATTTAGTAGTGTTTCTCCGGATTGCATCTTCGTGATTTGTCGGAACTGTATACCATTCATATCGATGACCATGCGTACTCAGGTAATTTTTGGCGGAGTGTATGGATTGCGTAGACAGTGAGGTCACAGTTGTTTGGCCTTCCAGACCCGAGCCAGGAAATGCAAATGCTTCAAGCAGTGCTCCATACATGGTGCTCTTGGTTGTTTGCAGCAATTCTGCAGGCAAGACGACACGGGCAATCTTGTCCAAGCATTCTCCAATGGCAATGTCATTTGTGGATCCCAACACACAGTGATGTGTCAAAGAAGCAGAGTGGATGAGTAACGTGTGACCACCAGATGCTAACACTGACAAGAACGGAAACTTGGGCGCAGGCTCAGGCAATGGATGGGCATGAGATTCAAGAGCGCCCACCATTCGCGGCGTGAGAGCATGTGCTTGCATGTGGTGAACACCGACGAGAGGTTTCTGGGGCAGGTGTCAGTGGCAGGTTCGTGGGGAGACCAGCGTGCAGTACCTGCCATGCTACAGCAAGGCCCTTTGCGGTATCGAGGCCCGTGAACAGATTACTACGCATACCAGGCCCGCGTGTAACGGAAATGAAGTCGGGCAGTCGTCTTGTTGCAATGTCTACTTGGCCTGACTGCGTCGACTCTGCACTGGGAAGAATAGGCCCATTGCGCATTGGGAGATGGCGCATGGCTTCATGCACAAGTGTTGCAAGGCTCTCCTGGTGAGATTGAAGCGATACCAGGGGGTGCACGCCTTGGTATATGGAGTTGTTGGATGTGACTTTATCGTGGAAATGCAGTTTTGCTGTCACGTGGCCATGGTGGTTTCCTTTTTCGACTATAGCTACCGAAGTATCATCGCATGATGTCTCAATGGCAAGGGTCATGAGGCATCTTTGCAATGGCCATTGGCATAGGCGGCGATTTGTTGAGCGGATGGCGGCCTGGAGCCCATGGAAACGAGGCCGCATTAGCTCTGCGGTGTGGGCGAGTGTGGAGTGGTACGGGTGCAGGTGCAGGTACAGCAATTGTAATAGTAGCGGGTAGCGAACGAGGAGGATTTCTGTGCATGAACGTCGGAAGGGTTCTCCGGGGCGCAGGGCCCAGGCCTCGGCAGGCCCTGTGACGTAAACCCCCGAAGCTTCGAGCCTCACATGCCGCTCTCAACACCCTTAGTCCATTCATCTGACGTGACATGTTCCTTTGCATTCTGCGATGAAATATACATCTCGTCACTCCCTACCCCATGGCTGACATCGACAAAAAGACAGACGGCCCAGAGCCATACTCGGCTGTCGGCTTCGACTTCACCCTCTTGCCCGACTACGATAACGACTTTGTCGAAGAAGACCACTTTATTGAATTCGCCAAAGCGCTCGCTGCACCTGAGAATTCGCCATCGACCGAAGACCTGCTTTCGCCTCCGCCCGAACGTGCTTTCATCACCGCCCAAAATGACTGGCGCCCCGTCCACCAGCGCGTCAAGCGGCGCAAGAAGACAAAAGCCCCTCCACGTCGCGGCAAGGACGAGACACGCGAGGGCTTTGTCTACATACTGCTCAAGTGGCCGCTGCTGATTGTCGTGCTCGGATGGCTGCTCTTCCTGAGTATCGGTTACGTCTTCACGCGCCTGTACATTTATCTATATGAGCACTGGGTCACATGGCGCGGAACACGCCAGAGACTGCGCCAACGCCTACAGAACGCGAATTCATATCAGGAATGGATACAGGGTGCGAAAGAGATAGACAATTATCTTGGCAACGATGCGTGGAAGGAGAAAGCCGAATACGCTTACTATGACAGCAAGACCATCGCAAGGGTACACCAGCAGATGGTCAAGCTGCGGGAAAAGGCCGAGGCTGAAGAAAACAGTGCTTCGGGCTCGAAACATACTACAGGCCCTCACACGGCTGTCGAGGACCTTCGTGCGCTACTGGAGGGTAAGAACATACTATACTCCTGTGAAGGGGAACAGCTGGCTAACGTCTTACGCAGCCTCAATGAAGAACAATTTCGTTGGCTTTGAGAACCCTCGGTTGTACAGCGAAACCTACTACGGAACCAAAACTCTTGTCCAAAACTTCGTCGACGAAGCCGAGGCTTCCCTGTCATTCCTCCTGAGAACCACGCAGCTCGACGCTGACAACAAGCGCGCCCTCTTCAAGCACTTGGGCAGTAACTTTGGTCGCACTGCCCTGTGTCTTTCAGGAGGAGCCACATTTGCTTACTACCACTTTGGTGTGGCTAAAGCTCTAATGGACGCCGAGCTACTACCCGAAGTTATCACAGGCACTTCAGGTGGCGCTCTTGTAGCTGCGCTACTGTGCACAAGGACCAATGAAGAACTTAAGAGTTTACTTGTACCAGCGCTTGCTCACCGCATTACGGCCTGTCATGAAGGAATTTTCACATGGTCAAAGAGGTGGTGGAAGACTGGTGCTAGGTTCGACAGTGTGGATTGGGCCAGGAGGTGTGCTTGGATGACACACGGCAGTCTAACGTTCAGAGAAGCATATCAAAGATCTGGCCGTATACTCAATGTTTCCTGCGTACCAGCTGATCCGCACTCACCAACTATTTTAGCAAACTACATCACCGCCCCTGACTGTGTCATTTGGTCGGCGGTTTTGGCTTCAGCTGCTGTTCCTGGAATTCTCAACCCAGTCGTACTCATGAAGAAGAACAAGGATGGAAGTCTTTCGCCTTTCTCTTTCGGCCACAAGTGGAAAGATGGCAGTCTAAGGTAAGTCATTGAATTCGCATAATTGTCATTTTCTGACGACGGCTCACGCGGTCTATAGGACGGACATACCACTCAAGGCACTGAATCTACATTTTAATGTACGCTTCTCAATCGTCAGCCAGGTCAATCCACACATTAATATCTTTTTCTTTTCGTCACGTGGATCAGTCGGTCAACCTGTCACTCATCGACGTGGACGCGGTTGGAGAGGCGGGTTTCTCGGTTCAGCCACTGAGCAGGTACGTAATGAGCGCCCCGACACCCAACCAACTGTCTCTCCCCTTGAATACCACAGGAACCCCATCTGGTGCTTCTCTAACCATATTTTTAGTATCTCAAACTTGATCTCTACAAATGGCTCAAGGTCCTCCGTCACCTCGAACTATTACCGAGGCCCCTTGGCCAGGATTGGAGCGAGCTCTGGCTGCAACGCTTCAGCGGAACCATTACCATTTGGCCCAAGTCCATCCCTTCAGACTTCATTCATATCTTGTCTGACCCTACCCCTCAAAGACTAGCACGCATGATTCATGTGGGCCAGCAATCTGCGTTCCCAAAACTAAAGTTCATTGCAAATCGAGCCAAGCTGGAACGCGCCATTCAAGAGGGCAGACGCAGGTACAGACCTCGTGGCGTACGCGATGAAGAAGTAATCAACACCCTCAGCGAAGAGGATCTCCGCAGCTTGCTCAAACGAACACATAGCGATGGACCTACCGGAGACGCTCCATACCCTGCATCAGGTTCAGAGTCTTCTTCATCTGCCGGGCTTTCAAGACCTGGATCCCCGATAGATCTTCCTTTGGGCTTCAACTTTACCCGAAAGAAGAAGGGAAAGCTGGATAACATTGTAACAAATGTGGAGAAGCAGACTGATATCCCAGACAGCCCTTCGTTGTCCAAGCGGCTAAGCGGCTGGTGGTCAGCCATCTCGCCACAAGCTTCCCCACGACCTGACCTCGCGCAACCGACAGCTGCTCAAGGCAAGTCGCGTACTACGCCATACAGCCACGATCGCCCTAATTCAATGTTCGAGCTTCGACCTCCAGGTGGGTTGGGTGATTTCCCGACTGGGAGGAAACAGAGCAGAGTCTTTGATGACTCGGATGACGATGATCTGACCCAGAGCACTTCTCGGTACAAGCATCAGCATAAAGGCAGCGACTTCCATGATGTAGATGCAGGAATAGGAGATGGAGAGGATCACGGCGACGCAGATTTTGGTGACGACGAAGAAGACAGAAAGGAATCGCAAACTGTTGGCGTTGGCCTTGGGCTTGAGTAACAAGCAATATAGACTATTTTTTGACATGTATAATAGCTGAACTAAACTGTAGAAATTGTAATTTTAAGAGACTATTAATCCTGCACACAAGAAGACTGAGAGACGTGTGAAGAAGGTCCAGCCCAAACACGTGAAGGTCGCGTGGGAACATGGTCCAGGCTTGGCATGTCGTCATTGACGACGCGCCTTGAACGCGCGATCACCAGGCAGCAAGTACACAGTTAAAACTCACCTCGAGCAATACAGGCACACACTTTACCTGTCGAAATTGATGGCTCACACTCGTAGAAGAGCGCAATGGGTGTTACTGGCCTCTGGACCGTTTTGCAGCCCTGCGCGCGGCCGATTAAGATTGAGACGCTGAACAAGAAACGACTGGCTGTCGATGCGTCCATCTGGATCTACCAGTTCCTCAAAGCTGTGCGCGACAAGGAAGGAAATGCGTTGCGGAATAGCCATATCGTTGGCTTCTTTCGCCGAGTATGCAAGCTACTTTTCATCGGCATAAAGCCTGTGTTCGTCTTCGACGGGGGCGCCCCGACATTGAAGCGACAGACTATCCGCCACCGTAGGTCGCGCAGGGAAGGCAGACGAGACGATGCACTCAAGACAGCCGGGAAGCTGTTGGCAATACAGATGCAGAGGGCTGCGGAGGAAGAGGATAAGAAGAGGAAGGAAGCTGCCAAACATCCACGGGAAACCCAGCAAGACGAGGAGATACCTGAAAACTTAGTCTATGCAGACGAACTACTCCAAACGCCCCAGGAACGGACCCAGAACCGCACATTCAAAAGAAAAGACCAATATCATTTGCCAGACCTGGGCAAGTCCATGTCAGAAATGGGCGCTGCGAACGATCCCAGAGTCATGTCTCTGGAGGAACTGGAAGAGTATGCGCGGCAGTTCGATAGAGGCGAAGATATCAATGTTTATGATTTCTCCAAGATCGACTTTGATGGCCACTTTTTCCAAAGTCTGCCCCCTGCCGATCGCTATAATATTCTGAACGCAGCCAGGCTGCGAAGTCGGCTCAGGATGGGCCACTCGAAGGAACAGCTTGATGCAATGTTTCCCGACAGAATGGCGTTCTCCAAATTCCAGATTGAGCGTGTGCGCGAACGTAATGAACTTACGCAACGTTTGATGAATCTCAACGGCATGAATGACGATTCCTTTGGCAGCGGTGGTTTTAATCGCGTTGCTGGTGAGAGAGATAGGGAGTATGTCCTTGTCAAGAATGACGGAGTTGAGGGTGGTTGGGCCCTCGGCGTGGTTTTGAACAAGGAAGCCGGAAAAGCTCACAAGCCAATTGAGGTGGAGCCGCCACAACCCTCAACCAAAGATGAAGATGAATGGGAAGACGACGAAGATTTTGAGGATGTGCCCATCGAAGGCTTGAATCGGCTCCCTAAACCTAAAGTAGGGTTGAGTGCACAGGAAAAAGAAGGTCGCGAGTTCATTGCAAATGAGTTGGCAACAAGGCGTCGACAGCTTTACAGGTCAAGGAAAGAAAAGCCAAAGCAATCTGCTCCCAAAAGGGCTGTGCCAGTGGATCAAAACCCCGATTCGTTGTTTCTTGCCGATGACAACGAAGACGAAGACTGGATGGACGTGCATGCCAGTGGCGGTAACGATTTGGCCGAGGATGCGGGCGACGAACTTGAGAACGAACAGTTACAACAAGCGATTGCATTGTCAATGCAGTCAGGAGTACAACAACATCAAGAAACTGCTGAAGAGTCCGAAGAAGACCCAGTTCGTGAGGTCTTTCAACAAAGGCGTGTTGAAGAGACCAATCCCTTCACCGGGACCAAGGGCTCTGGACTTGCTATTGGAAGACTTGCCAACCAGCGTAGTAGTAAACTGACTACGAAGGGCCCTTTTGAAGGTAGTGACAGCGAAGATGAAATGGACCTCCAGAGTGCGCTGGCAGAGTCTCGCAAGTCAAAACGTCCTACCAACGTGCAAAAACCATTGTCCAAACATAATGCTCAAGCATCTTCAGCAACTGTCGAATCTGCACCGACAAAGATCAACTCTTCGGGTTTTGATGGGCCTCTTCCGTTTGAAAGACTCAATCTGGGTAACTCCCTGCTTGGCAAGAAAAAGATGGAAAAGCTGGAGGCTGAGAATGCTGGAGGCTTTGAGAAGAACTACGCAGAGGAGAAAAAGGCCGCAGCACCACTTCCGCCATGGTTTAACGCGTCACGGGATATTGCTTTAGAGGTCAACTCTCAACGACAGGAAGAAAAGTTGCTATGGGAGGAAGCTCGTCAAGAAGAAAAGAGCAGATTCCAGTTCCAAGAACTCCCGAGTTTACGCAAGCAAGATATGAAGGAAGTCATTGATGTGGACGCACCCGCCAGTCAAAGCCAGAAGCAAGTAATCGAGATTGAGTCAGATGAAGATGCTGATGTCCAGATGGAGGATGTACAAACTGGAGAAGCCGAATTGAAGATGGGCGACCTAGCCGAAAAAGTTAGAGCAGAGCCGCCAAAACCGCTTTCCCCACATCAGCCATCGCCACCTCCTCAAGATCCTGCTTTGGTGAAGAAGGGCTTATTCACTGAGGATTCTGACGAGGAGCCAGTGGACTGGCCGGAGAGTGAGCCGGAAGACGAAAGGCGCGCGCAAGAGAAAGCAACGAACGATGTGGAGCCAAAGCCAGAGGCACGACAAGCTTCTGAAACTCCATCTGACGAATTTGAAGATGTACCAACGCAGATGGATCCGGTTCCTGAACATACATCTGTTAAATCACCATCGCCTGAATTCGAAGATGTACCTTTGCAAGGTGAAACCACTTCAGCACCCGAGCAACCAAAGTCTCCGTCGCCCGAATTTGAAGATGTTCCGATTAGACAGGAAAGGCCACGTCGACCTCAAAGAGAGTTTTCGCCATTACAGGGTCCGGAAGACCTTACAAAGCCAATTGTCCCATACAGCGGCATTGCTGACGAAAATGTCCCTATGGACATTACAGAAGGCAATGGTTCCGACCAATACTCCGATCCAGAAGATGAAGAGCTATTTGCCTCTCTAGCAAAAGAGGCCGAAGAGCACGCACGCTTCGCCCAGGAACTAAGCAACAACACCGCCACACGGGTAGACTTTGACGAAGAACTCAAGCAACTACGTGCTCAGCAGAAAAAAGACCGTCGAGACGCCGATGAAGTAACCCAAACAATGATTTCTGAGTGCCAACAGCTCCTCACCCTATTTGGCCTCCCCTACATCACCGCGCCCATGGAAGCCGAAGCCCAATGCGCCGAACTTGTCAACTTGGGTCTCGTCGACGGCATCGTAACCGACGACTCAGACACCTTCCTCTTCGGCGGCACCCGCGTCTACAAAAACATGTTCAACGCCGCCAAATTCGTCGAATGCTACCTCTCCTCCGACCTAACTTCGGAATTCAGCCTCACCCGCCAAAAACTAATCGACATTGCCCAACTCCTCGGCTCCGACTACACAGAAGGCATACCCGGCATTGGCCCTGTCACTGCCCTCGAAATCCTCTCCGAATTCAACGATCTGACCAGCTTCAGAAAGTGGTGGGACGGCGTGCAAAACGGATCCATCAAGAAATCCGACGACGCCCAATCCTCCTTCCGCAAACGCTTCCGCAAAAATCAAGCCACCAAGCTTTTCCTCCCAGCCTCCTTTCCCGACCCAAGAGTCGCAGACGCATATCTCCACCCGGAAGTCGATTCCAGCCCCGAGCCCTTCCAGTGGGGCGTCCCCGATCTCGCTGCGCTGCGCACTTACCTCAGCTCGCAGATTGGGTGGAGTACCGAGCGCACGGATGAGGTGCTTGTGCCTGTTATCCGCGACATGAATCGTAGGGAGAAGGAGGGGACGCAGGCGAATATTACGAGGTTCTTCGAGGGGAGTGTGGGGGCGGGGGCGTTTGCGCCGAGGGTTAGAGGGGCAGATAGTGGTGGGCCGAGTGGGAAGAAGAAGGGAAAGGGGGCCGCCGGGAAGAGGTTGGGGGCTGCGTTGACGAGGTTGGCAGAGAGGGAGGGAGCGAGGGGGGGAAGTGAGGGGGACAGTGAGGAGGGGGTTGAACGGGATGAGGGTACGAATGGCGGGAGGAAGAAGAGGAAGGTTGGGACGAGTAAGGCTGCGGAGAAGGAGGGTCAAGGTACAGGTGAGGATGCTGGAGAAGACGAAGAGGAAGATGATGACGAAGATGAATTATACGAGGAGCCTACGAAGAAGAAACCTAGGAAGACGCGAAAGGCAAAGGCAGTGTAGATTATTACCTTGAAAAAGAAAATAAAATAAAGTAATGCCATAACTCGTCAACCGAACCGAGTACCAACAACCATATTCTTCAGACAAGATGAGAACAACAATGAAAGATTCCTACAAATGGTATTACGCCATTTACTACCATATCTCCAAAGGAAAAATCCAAAAAGATTATGACAAAAGAACATCAAAGCTTAACACCTCCGCCCTCAATCCTCTTCAAATCATCCTTCGTAAAGCGAACATAAGCACCATCCTTGAGCCAATACAAGACATCCCCCTGCCCCTCTACAACTTCAGGATCAATCCCCTCCTTCTGCAACAAATGCTTCTGCTGCTTGTTCGTGCCTGTAAGCTGCATCTCCTTCGTAACACGGATCCAAATCGGGGCCGCAAAAGCCGGCAACTGGCTCTTGACATGCTGAGCCAGAGACGTCAGGACAGCGTCGGAAGGAGAGGTAGACTGATCCTTGAACACGACTGCGGCACAGCCTGCGCGGCCGTCGTGGCGCGGGACCTGGACGCCGTAGACGTTTGCTTCGGCAACAGCGGGGTGTCTGCCGAGGACTTCGCTGACTTCGGCTGTTGAGACGTTTTCTGCTTTCCAGCGGAATGTGTCGCCGATGCGGTCGACAAACCAGAAGCGGCCTTCGTCATCCCAGCGCATAAGGTCGCCGGTGCGGAAGTATGCGTCTCCTTTCTTCTTGACGTCACGGATGATTTTGCTGTTTGTAGCTTTTGAGTTGCCGTAGTAGCCTTGGAAGGCCTTGTTGATGTCTGTGGCATCGAGTTTGCTGAGCATTTCACCCGGTTCGTTATAGTCGCAGATTTTGCATAGGCCTGTTTTGGGGTCGCGGATGGGCTCTGGAGGGTCGGACTCGGGATCCAGGCGTACGAGGCAAAGCTTCTGTCCTAGAAGTGCGTTGACTATTGTGCCGTTACGTGCAATTGCGCCGGTCGAAAAGGAGTTTGTCGAGAGGTTGAAAAGCCCAGAAGGCGATTCTGTTGCGGCGTAGAATTCGTAGACGGTTTCTATGCCAAAGCGCTCTTTGAAAGCCTCCCAGATGTCAGGGCGTAAGCCGTTACCGAACGCTGCACGGAGCTTGTGCTGTTTGTCCAGGGGCGATGGGGGAGCGGAGAGGAGGTATCGACATGTTTCGCCGACATATTGGATGATGGTGGCATTGGAAGAACGGACTTCGGGCCAAAAGGTCTTGTGAGAAAACTTCCTAGACAAGCAGACGGCGGTTCCGGCGCGGAGGGTGGCGCATAGACCTAGGATTGAAGCGGAACTGTGGTATAATGGCATAGATGTGTACAGGATATCATTGTTGAGTCCCACCCAAACTGCACCAGCATTGGAAGCAGCAATACATCGGCCCCATGACATCACGGCAGGCTTAGGGAGACCCGTTGTGCCAGATGTGTAGATGAGCATGGCCATGCTTGTGCGTTCCTGGACTGAGCGAACTGAATCAGGGAAGCGCGTTGGCGGTTGTGTGAGAATGTGAGATGCCAATGCATCGTCAAAGAAGATGATTTCAACCTTTCGTTGAGCCTGCTTCTCAGTAGATGGCGGTACATCAGACTCAAGTTCAAACGTGTACTCGAGCCTGTCAGTGTTATCCGTCCGCGTGAGGCCTTGGTCCCTCAGTGCATCCTCACTGAAGCTGGCCTTGACTTCTTGATCCACAAGCACCAACTTGGCCGTACTCGTCTTGATGGTATGTACAAGCGGCTTGCCTGTGAGGTTGTAGTTGATAAAGGCTGGGCTTGCGCCAATGCTCCAGAGGCCAAACCACACCCATATGAAAACGTCCGAGTTTATAAAGTCCATAGCAACAATATCGCTCTTTTCCACGCCCTTGCTCTTCAGCCATACTCCATAGCGGAGCACAACATCATAAGCTTGCGCATATGTCCACGACTTTCCCTGGAAGATAATCCAAGTGTGGTTTGCCCGTGACGATTTAGCATGTGATTCGAGTTCGTAGAAGAGGTTCCAAGTGTCGCGTCGTTGGCGGGCTGCGTTATCGAAGGAGCTGCGTACGATGGCAGATAGCAGCGTCAAGTCGTAGGTGAAGCCATGGCGACCGTTGAGGTATGCGAGGCCAGCGGCGGCTGCGGGAAGCGCGAGCGGAAGGACTGCGGTAACAAGGCCGATTAGCAGGATGTTAGGAAAGCAGGGTGCTGTACGAAGCTAGATCGCACTTACGTGACATGATTGGCGGTCAGTAGGCAAAAGGAAGACGGCAGCAAAAGCACCGAGGTTCGATATCGCGATATCGGGTGTCGTGAAGAAGGGGCTCGCCAGCGCGACGTACGATTCAATCGCAGGGCGCATTATGCCTTTCATCGTCGACTAGTGACGTTTGACCCCAGTTGAATAGTGGAGCTGAGAAGCAGCCGAGGCAAGTCGGTCGGGGGCGCCCAAGCATTCCGTCGTGCAAGCCATGGGCCATCCCTATTCCGCACTTCCCCTCATTGCCCTGGCCTGGGCAGCGTCTCACCCTGTTGATACAACGGCCCATGGCGCTCGCTTGCCCTGTACTTAAGCGGAAAGACAACGGCGCTCAAGATGATCCTGCGAACAGTTGGTAAGCAATGACCTTGCGCGGACTCCCCTGACTCGGAGCACCAACTTGGCAAAGCCATGATCTGCTCGATGATGTGATGCCTTGGACCATGCTCAAACAAATGCAAAAGAACAAGGCGATGGTGCGTATAACTGGTGTAAAAAGACACGTTTCGAGTGTGTGTCTTGCAACAGGCAAGAGTCTTGATTTGTCACCACCAAGCTCCGGAAGGACTACCATACAGTGTCACGTGCCGACGCGTTTGGTGAAGCATCCGGCCGACCGCGTGCCGGGTCCCGCAGAGCCAGGGTTGGGACAAGATCAAGCTTGGAGTGGAGAATGGATTACGGTATACAAAAAATTTCTAGCAACGCATGCGAGACCTATAGCTTTAAAGGGCAACTATATACGCAATGATCTGTATCCAATTCCATCCTTCCCTCACCCCACCCATATCCCAAGGTATCCCCCAAGACTATGATTTGCGCCAAACAATCGCTCCGGAAAATGCTATTGGAGAAGTGAAGGTATAAAAACAAACAAGCAAACATAGCGCCATTGAACAAGAGTTTTTACCAACAGCCTACCGACTTCGCGAATTGGTTATGTAGACATTACAGGAATGCAAAACCCTGTTGTCAGACCTACCCCATGGCAAGAGGCCCACTCACGCTCATCTATCGTACTGCCTCACCTTCCGGCTTTGGCGTATCTAGCTCTGCGGTTGGGGCCTCCACCTCTGGCACTGGACTAGGTGCCTTCACCGGCTCGTGAGACGCCTCATCAGCCGGAGCTTCTTCAGCTACCTGTTCAGTAGGCTCAGACTCCTTTGGGGCTTCTTCCTCCGTCTTGTGCTCCTCCTTGTGCTCCTCATCACCATGGCCGTTGGTGACGGCTGCCTTGGCCTTGGATGCGACATCTTCGACCTTGGAAACAGCTTCCTCTGCCTTCTTCTTTCCTTTTTGTAGCGTGCTAGGCTTTGAGGCGCCGGGAGCCTTGTGTGGTGGAGAAGCAGGCTTTTCATGAGTCTTGCTAGAGCTGGCCGCTGTTGGGCGCATCATACGCTCAAGGAAACCGCCCTTGGGTGCGGTGCTTGTGGTTGAGGTACGGGACTCCGGTCGCTTTGGTGCACTGGGTCCAACTGAAGGCCGCGGTGCCTTGGTGGTGGTGGTGGTGGTGGTGGCGCCGGCGGGCTTGGGAGGAGCGCGTGTGGTAGTGGCAGGCTTCTTTGCAACCTTGGGTTCTTCGCCATGCTTTGCAGTTGAGGCCGCAGTAGGTGCGGTCAAACGTGAAGGCAGGCCGACGGGGCGTGTGGGCGACTTGGGAGCTGGCTTCTTGAAGCCGGTTGGTGAGACGCTAGATTCATGTCAGAGCTATGGACTGCGTGAACTGCAATTTTACGTACCTTTTACGGAGAGCAGCAGGGGCGGGTTTAGAAGTGGCAGGCTTCTTGGTCTCTGTAGATGATGCTGCTGGCTTGGCCTTGGATGCAGCGCTGGCAGTAGGTGCAGTGGCTGAGGATGCCGCTGGGCGTAGGGAAGAGCGGCTCGTCTTGGTGGTAGGGGCCTTAGCAGCAGGGGCCTTTGTAGCAGGGGCAGGGGCCTTTGCAGCAGGGGCCTTAGCAGTCTCCTTAGGGGCTGCCGGCTTGGACACCTTAGGCGCTGGGCTGGGCTTGGGCGCTGGTGTGGCCGACTTGGTCTTCGGGGGAGTCTTTGGCGCTGCCTTTGGAAGAGGGCTCTTTGGCAGAGGGCTCTTTGCGGATGCGGGTAGCGCCTTGGAGGCCTTAGCAGTAGAGATTGCGGAGGGCTTCTTGACATCTAACTTCTTAGATGCAGGAGTACCATTGGTCTTTGTTTTGCTCTCAGAAGGCTTGGAAGTCTCCGCTGCTGGAGTCTCTTCAGACGCAGGAGCCGCCTCCTCGGTGATAGTGGGCACATCCGTGGAAGACGCAGTCTCAGTCTTGTCTGAGGTTTCGGTGGGCTGAGCGTCGACCTGAGGCTCTTCTTTGGAAATGACAGGTTCCTCAGTAACTGCAGCCTTCTCCTCTGCGATAGCAGCTTCCGCAACAGCGGCCTCCTCCTTGACAGCAGCTTCCTCTGCGGCAGAAATGCTTTCTTCAACCGTAGCTTCATCTTGGGCAGGTGTGTCGTGTTCTACAGGAGCTTCATCCGTGGGGGCTGCCGGCCTCAGTGCGAGATCTTCCTGGGCGCCCGTAGTAGGCTTGTCCGGGTTTTCAGCAGGGTGAGTGGGAATCTGTTGTGGGGATGGCATTGGGGAGATTTCGTCGTCGATGACGTTTTCTTCGGATTGGGTTGGTGTCTGCTCAGCCTGGGGCTCAGAAGCTTCTGAGAGGTCGGAGGCCTTAGCCATGTCGGTGGATTCTTTTTCTTCTGCCTTTCGGTCAAGAGGAGCCGATAGCGAGGACTC